CTGAAGCTAGCGGACGAAGTCTTCGAAAGGTCTATGAAGTCATCAGCTATCGCAGTATCACTCGAAGAACTACTCTCGATCTTACCCAATGTATGCTCAAAATATCGCAAGGCCTGCACACCAAAGAGGGTTCAGCCAGGACCTCAGGTTACGAGCACATCAGTTGAGGAGGTCGTGGACGAGGAATATGCACTGAAGGCATCGGCAAACTTTACCTGCGATGGTGAGCCACTAAAGTCGAATGGGTCAATAGTGCTGGATCCCTACAAAGTCTACCTACATCATATACACAAGCATGGTGATCCAGACCAGCTTATGGTGGTGAAAGAGTCACATGCACTGCATTCGGTCATTGGCCTCGTTGACAATAAAGAGAATGTCGAGGCCATCGTTGACCCAGGATGCCAGATCGTCGTGATGTCAGAAAACGTATGCCATGCTCTAGGACTTATCTATGATCCTACAGTCAAGTTGAACATGCAATCAGCAAACGGTGAGGTCGATCAGTCCCTCGGTATCATACGCAACATTTCGTTCCAGATCAGGGAAATTGTTCTATATCTCCAGATCCATGTCATCCGTGCAGCAGCATATGACATCCTATTGGGCAGACCATTCGACGTGCTCACCAAGAGCATCATCAAGAACTTCTTTGACGAGAAACAGACCATCACAATCATGTGTCCCAATACCGGACAGGTCGCAACGATACCTACGGTACCGCGTGATCCTCCGAAGTTTTGTAGTAAACTCAGTGAGCAGGGTTTTCACTAGCGGAGAATACACATAGTGCAGAAGATGCACTGGCCATACTCGTTGAACAGGCACCCAATCAGGACCCAGTAATTGTCACATATACCCCAGTCGTATCCTCCAATCACATCGTTATCGCATCGCGCTACATCCAGGCCTCGGAAGGGGCACTCTCAGCTATCAGTTCCCTATATTCTCCATCTACATCATTCAGTAATATTCCAGCATTATGTCTCTCTTTATTTTTTTTCAGTCAATCAGTCTCGAAGTCAGCCTTTAGTCCCACGAATTCTGCGTCACCGAAGTCAACCCCAGTGAATTCCACATCAATGAAGCGGCCAGCAAAAGCATTTGCAGCCACAAAGAAGAAATATAAGCCAGTCGCATTGAAAACAAAGCCAGTCTTGACCACCATGCCAGAATCATTTAGGATTATGCGAAGGATCACAGGCGATTCTCTCACACAGATGCCTTCGTTACCGACGACGCCTCCACCGTTCGCACCGGAAGGACGTTATACCCAGGAACGGATGGAGGCCTTGGACTGCATTCATGATATAGGATTTCTATGGGACCAGGAATATGAGCTCATGCACTATTTTATGTGCATTCATAATCAAGCCTTCACCTGGAACGACACTGAGTGAGGCTGCTTTAAGCCAGCATATTTCCCTTCGATCAATTTTCCTGTCATCCCGCACATGCCTTGGGTCGAAAAAAATATACCTATACCCCCAGGGATCTATAACGAAGTCTGCGCTCTAATTCAAAAGAAGATGGCGGCCGGAGTCTACAAACCTTCAAACTCATCGTATTGTTCGAAGTGGTTCTGTGTCGTAAAGAAGGACAGAAAGTCCTTACGATTGGTTCATAGCCTAGAACCACTCAACGCAGTGACGATCTAGCATTCAGGAGTAATGCTGACTCCTGAACATCTGGGCGAACAGTTTGGTGGAAGAGCTTGTGGAGCCATTCTCGACATCTATGTTGGCTATGACAAATGACTCATTGCGGAGTCTTCAAGGGATCTCACTACATTCCAGATGCTCTTCGAGGCACTCCAATTAGCAACATTGCCAATGGGATGGATGAATTCAGTCCCTATCTTTCACGATGATGTCACCTATATCCTTCAGCCCGAGATACTGAAAGTCACGGTTCTATACATCGACGATGTACCCGTCAAGGAACTCACATCACAGTATCAATGACTGGACGGTTCATTTGAGACTATTCCCAAAAACTCCGGCAATCGACGATTCATGTGGGAGCGCTTTCAGAACCTCAATCGAGTAGTCCAGCGCATGAAGTATGCGGGCGGCATGTTTTCCGGAATGAAGCTTACATTGTGCAGTGCAGAGATCACGGTCGTAGGCCATAGATGCACGGTGAATGGGTTTTTACCGGACAAATCGCGCGTGACCTCCATTAAGAACTGGGGGCCCTGTCGAGACCTCTCAGAGGTGCGGACCTTTTTAGTAACCATCAGGGTTGCTCGGATCTTTATACAGAACTTTGTGAAGTGAGCGAATCCTTTGGTCAAGTTAACGTGAAAGGATGTTCCGTTCGAATTCGGCGAAGAACAGATCGCTGCAATGGAGGATCTGAAGGCAGTGCTGCTGGAGTCACCAGCACTACGAGCAATTAACTACAATTCCGACGCATCTGTAATTTTGGCGGTTGACACCTCGAACATTGCAGTCAGATACCAACTTTGCCAGTGTGCGCCGGACAATCCTAAAGTTCGCTACTTTAGCCGGTTCAGCTCGATCATGCTTAACGAGTGAGAAGGTCATTTCAGCCAGCCCAAGCTCAAACTCTACAGTTTATTCCATGCCCTGCGAGCATTGAAAGTTTACCTTATCGGCATACGGAATCTGATAGTCGAAGTGGATGCTCGTTATATCAAGGAAATGCTGAAGCATCCGGACATCACATCCTTCGCTAGTATCAATCGGTGGATTGTTGTGATCCTCATGTTCCATTTCAAGCTCATACATATACCAGGTGTGAATCATGGACTGGATGGATTGTCACGCAGACCTGCACAGTCCGGCGATGCATTGGATGACACCTACGAGAACGAGGACTTCGACGATTGAATCGATCAGGTCAACGGCTTCTTGCATCACATTCTGCGACACCCAACACCACCTTCACTTACAGCACAGTCAGTGAATGAGGATGTTCACATTAAAAGTGGAAGGAGGGGGACCAGCCTATTTTGCAATTTCGAATGCAGGCTACGTTACCGAAGCACTCATCACACGTGCATGCAACATTCATTTCGAACGAAGCAACTGAGGAGGAACAATCTGCTCAGGACAAAATAACCTATGCAGATGTACCATGCAGTGAGTGGGCAAAACATAATGACAGGCTAATGGAGCAAGCACACCAGTGGTTGCAGAAGCCAGGATGGCCACCAGACCTTTCAGACATGCAGTACCAACGACTTCTTCGGTATGCAACCCAGTTCTTCATACAAGACCAGAAGCTTTGGTGCAAGGATCCTCAGGGAGCCCACAAACTAGTCATGGCTGGAGACAAATGCCTGGAAGTACTCAAAGAATGCCATGATGAGTGTGGACACAAAGGAGTCTTCGCCACATGTGTCCTAGTCCAAGAACGATTTTGGTGGCCAGATATCGAAGCAGATGCAGCATGGTATATTTGTACTTGCATTTTATGTCAGCAACGACAGATTCGTCAGATCATCATTTCACCGATTGTCACAGTACCAGCACCAATCTTCGCGAAGATTTACATTGATACGATGCATATGCCACCATCGAACGGGCTCAAGTACATCATACAAGGACGATGCTCTCTAACTCACTATCCGGAGTTCTGAATGCTTCAGCAGGAGTCAGCGAAGGCGATTGGTGATTGGCTCTTCGAAGATGTTCTATGTCGTTGGGGCGCGCTTTCGGGAATCGTGTCTGATAACGGCGCTTCATTCGTCAAGGCACTCGGATACATCGAACGAAAGTATCATATCCGACACATTCGTATCAGCGGCTATAATTTCAGAGTGAACGGAATTGTCGAGCGACCGCATTTCGATGTTCGACAAAGTCTGTTTAAGGCAGCAGATGGCGAAGAACAAAGGTGGAGCCAGGCTGCGTACTCAGTGTTTTGGGCTGAACGAATCACAATACAGAGAAGGATGGGGTGTTCACCATACTTCGCAGTAACAGGAACACACCTGATCCTCCCATTAGACATTGTCGAAGCAACCTATCTGACACCAGCTCCATCAACAATGCTTTCTTCGACCAACCTAATATCCTACCGAGCGATCACCTTGCAGAAGCGATGCACTCAAGTTGAACATATACACAATGCAGTCTACAAAGCATGTCGACAGGCAGCCAGGAGGTACGAGCAGGACCATTCTACTAAGGTCAAAGATTTTGACTTCAAGAATGGAGATCTCGTTCTCATGCAGTTCACGCAGATCGAGAAGGCATTAAACTGGAAAATGCGACCATGGTACATTGGGCCATATGTAGTTCTACTGCATAACAAGGGAGGAGCCTATGTACTGGCCAAACTAGATGGTGCTGTGCTCGATCGGCCCATTGGTGCATTTCGAGTCATCCCATTCCTAGCAAGAAAAAAGATAGTAGTGCCAGAAGAGGTGTTGAACGTAACAAGGGAATGGCTAGAGGAGATGAAGAAAGCAGAAGAGTCCAGAGATTTGGGAGAAGAAGAAGAGGCAGAAGCCAGCGACAATGAGAACAGCGGTAACAAATGGGCCAGCAATGACGAAGACGGGTAGGAAGCAGACCAGACTGTGTCAGTCGGCCACTTCATATATAGGATCAAGGACAGGCTAAGAGCTATCATTCTCCAACTAATTTTCTACTTCACATTCACTATGAAAGGAACGCTGATATGCTCAACCGCGTCCTGGCCGTGAGCAGTGCTCCCAACCAAATCCTTCTATTGATCTTTGGCAGGCGAACCGGGGCTCGTCCGTCCGCGGTCCCTTTGGGCTACGGTCGCAGGAAACTTCGGATGATAACGCAGCGACGGGCGGCCGCGAGTCGTTCGGCTATGGTGCTTGAAACGGAGTGAATCGCCTATGGACTGTGGATCGGTGAGTGTCGGATTCAACTATGGGGACGCCTCCGACTGGGAATCAGTCGAAAGCTGAAGTGTGGGGGAATGTATGTGTGTGGAATGCGACTGGCAACTTCCTACGCTCGCAAACGATGCTAACGGAGGGGCTGGACCGGGTCACGAGGACTGGCTATTGCTGGCGAAGCTGGTTAGGCACCGACGACGAAACCCTAACTGCCTCCGAACTGGATCAAGCACCGACGACGAGTCCCTAATAGGTACCGAGCTGGGACGAGCACCGACGACGAACCCCTGGGCATCTAGAACTGGTACGAGCGCCGACGAGGAAGCCCTGGGCGCTAGAGAGGCTACGGGGTCCGATGGGGACGGAATCCTGGTTTGATACTCGTGACTAGTGGCGTGAGAGCGAAATGCGATGGCGTGAGACACGAAACGCGATAACGTGCCTTGTCTGGCTGAAACCCGAGTCGAGCTAGAGGCCACTACTGAGAGTGCTGCCCCTCTCGGTGTCGAGAATCCCAGAAACGTAGAACGTGATCGCAATAGACGTAGACGTAGTCGGGCACGACGCCCTAGCGTAGACAAGATGAGAACTGAGCAGTGCTGTGTGGGGAATTCCGTACTTATTCCTCCTTTTTTTGTGTCCTATGTACAGTGAAGATTATATACGGGTCGGAAATGAGCCAGCTAAGTCGCTGAAACGCGTTTCCGATCCTACATTACGTTTCCGATCCTACATTATGTTTCCGATCCATTGAAACATGTCGCAAGGCTCGTCCCTGCCTCCTCTCCATCTCATACAGTCAGGGAACTGGAAGCCCGGCCCTGCCAGGGTCCGTCGGTCCACTATCCTGTCAACCGTTCGGCGCGCTTGCTCGTTTCCGAGTTGCCTAACTGGTCGCGTTCCGCTCTCGCACTGCCCTTCGGAATCGGCTAAGCTTCCTTACAGCTCGGTCGTCATTTCCGTGCCTCATGTTCGCCTTCTGACCCTCTCGCGCGGTCCCATGCTCCCAGGCTGGTCAGTAAAGCCTTCGTCGCCCACTCTGGACTGTTCCGGCTCGGGGTTTCGTCTTTCCGGATCGCGGCGACTCGCTAATCGATTGTGCGATAGGCAGGCGCAGTTTCTGGCGTTTTCCGATCGCAGAATATCTCGGTGCGTATCAACGCCAGTAATCGAGCACACAGCAATTTATATTGCAATGCAGGGACTACAGTACAGCAACTAATGAAGGGCCGCTTTGGGCCCGGAACACAGCAAGGACGCTGGTCAACACCACACACTAATGTGACCTCTGCTCCTTCTGAGCCTTGCGAGCCTCCTTGCAAGCCCGGCGTTTCTCACGGTCCTGCTCCTGGATCATCTTGACCAAGGCGGTCAGAGACTCTGCATCTGAAGGAAAGGACGGTGGCGCAGCAGTAATGGCACGAACTGTCGAAGGGTCAGGAGTAGGGGCCAATGGAGCAGTGACCGAACAAGACTTGACTGAGGCACGCATCGACATGCAGGAGGAGGAAGTGGCATCTGCATTCCACGATGCTCACACGGCCTTACGGACTCAAGGAAGGAGCTTATCAAGTGGCATGCAACAGACGATCATCTCAGAAACCGTCCCAGCAATCTCAGGGTTGGGCTGACCAATGGAAGGGTCCCTGGCTGAGACTGTAGGATGAGGTGTGATTAGCAGCCAAGAGGAAGGAATGAGAACCACATACAAAGGATGGGGCTGTGCAGCATCAGCCAGTCGTAGAGCTCGTCGTCTGTCACTGAGGGTCCTCATTGAGTCTTTAATGCACGGAACTCAATGTTCATCATCTTAAACAAGTCATTGAACTCGGCCGCTCAAGAATAGCTCTCACGCTGTTCGAAAACCAGAGTATTTGGCATGGGCCAACCATGGACCTTGTAGACATCGGGGAGAGCCACCCACTGGTCAACATCGGCAGCAACAGGCGAGCCACCAAAAGTGGCATGGCTGACCGATGCGCTGACATTTGAGGCACTGCAGCTTGTTCTCCATCAAGAAGCAGAAATTTGGTATGCCCTGCTTGAAGCAGTGGAAGCACTGGGGACATGAGGCGACCGAGCGATAATGGGTTAGCGAGCCCAGATGAGACCAAGCCAGAACAGCATACCTGAACAGCATGCATGGGTGCGCGCCAGGCCGGGAAATACATAGGTGGATGAGCTGGGTTTTGAATTGAGAACGGCGGGTTCACAGAAGGATCCTTAGCTGAAGAAGCTGTAGCAACGACAGCAACGGCAGGTTTGGACTTCACCATCTCGATGTCGCTAGGAGAGTCGGGCTTGGACTCCCCTTCACTAGACTCAACCCGGATGCGCTTCAAGGCAGCAGACTTGGTGG